ATAAGAGATGGGATATGGGAAGAAGAGATAATCTGTTGTATTTTAAGAGGTGATAAGTTACTACAATTGTTCATATTTGTGATGAAGGGGAAGCAATTTCTTTATATATGTCTTTTCTTTTTTTTCTTTCTATTTTTTCTTTTCTGCACTTTCTATTTTTTTCTTTTCTTTTTTTTTTAGTTAGTATTAGTTTTTATCTTTGTAATTGTATTTTTTAATAAAATTACTATTAAAAAAACTAATTTTGGACAAAATATAAAAAGTAGGTTGAAATGCATATTATTACTGTTATTGGTGAATTTTTCTTCAAACATTTGAGAAAAAGTCAAGACTCCCAACAACAGTGTGTATTGTTTGGATTACAAAGTGTGGTGGATTATATGCTGTCGCTTGATTTAGAAGCTGTACCTACTGAGGCCGATGATTTATTTGACATAAAAAAGAATTTAGGAAGTTATAAAAACTTGGTTAACAGGTCTGAAATGGAGGCAAACTGATTTAGATCCCTCCTCTTGTATGACTGTTACTGATGATTGTTCCTGGTGTTATTCTTTGGTTTTAATCAGATTATTTTTTATCTTTTTATGATTTTATTCTTGGGTTATTTTGCTTTAATCCTGGTGCTGTATAGTAGAATCGTAGCTGCTCATAGTTGATATTCAACTGGACTGACATAAATATATCATAGTGCATAAATATAACAGAGATACGAAAAAGCTATTGAAGACCAAATTCAATTTTGTTTTAATTGTAGTGACAATATTTTAAAGAAAAAATAGTATTGAATCTGCACATCAAGAACATGGTGAGTTCTCCTGGTGGCTACAGCAAAACAAAAATAGGAAAAATAAATTTGTTCCAGAAGCATAAGAATGGCAAAGGAAGTCTTGGCGTGTTTTACATCAACAATAAACTTGTATTGAATAGGCAACATCTGAGGCATGAGGAAATAAATGTACTAGCAAGCAGAATACACACAGCTTTGTGGTGGTGCAACTTTCATTTGAAAACGGGTAAGACCTCCCAATTAAAATACTGTAGGAAGAGCTCAATTTCCCCCACAGCGTTCCTCCTCCTAAATTCACAATCACACTGAAAGACGAGCCAACGACCCCAACGGCAGAGAGTACCGCTCCGCACCATTAACACCCATTCACATAACTCTTTTTTTAACACCATAATGTAGCTCTACCGAAGTAGAGCCTCAAAAAATTAGTTACAAACTCATAAATGTTCCTCTCCACGGAAATCTTTAGTAAAAGGCGAAAGATTTATACGATCTGAAGAGAAACCAGAGTATGGCACAACGATTGAAGCTCTGCTACAGGGACGCATAGCGACAGTTCAACGGCTGATGGTGAATATCAAACTGAAATGCCAAACGGAATCCCATGAAGGCAGAGTGGACCTTCAACGTTGTCCTGCAAACTATACTAATCAAAAGCTTAATATTAACTCTAAAAGCCCGTAAAACATCTGAACATAAGACGACTTTCGCGCAATGCATGATGGGTATGCAAATTAAACCACCTTTCTTAACTCTCAGACTTTTTTGTCCCGCACCGTCAGCTTTCACGTGGTGCTTCTGTTCCGTTCCGAAGGAGGATCTTCGCGCGCGTTCAGAGCTCAGGAAATAGTTTATAGGCGGGATGGTACGAGGGGAATTGCTTGCAAAGAGATTATGTTGCTAATGGAAAGAAAAGTATTTTCTTCAAGTCGGACAGTCATTCCAAATCATAACTTCTTTCACTGGAAAACCGTTTAGAAAGTCTGTGCATGGCAATAGCAAATTCCATTTATTTATATTAATTTATATTCAGTCTAATCTTAATAGTTTTTAACGCACAAATAAAAATCCTACCGTTGGAGGATTTTCCAATGAGACTATTGCTTGATTTGTTTCAAATGCATTGTTCTGTTAAAACGAATACCAATCAAAATTTCAGAAACTCAATAGAAGAGCATATGAACCTTGTGTGTATACTTTTGGGGGATTGTAATGGTGCTGTTGGTATAGATGTGGGGAGCAAAGTAGGCAGCTGGGTTTGTTGCAAGGTCTGGTTCCTACGTTAGCATCGGTCCTGTTGTTCCTTGTGAGAATCTGCGTCAGGTTGGGTGGTGGTCTGTATGCAAGTAGGGCCTGCCACCCAGGGTCTGGGAAAGTGCAGTGCCATTGTCCAGTATGAGTTGTTGCTTATTAAGAATATAGAGATATCCACCTGCATCCCCCCGAAATAGAACACGTGTAGACACCACAACAAGAAGATCCATGTTTTTTCAAACATGGCATCAAAAAGCGCATCAGCCCCACAGGAGAGGGAAAGAGAGAGAGAGAAATTAGTAGCCTCGGGGTTACACTATGATCTGCTAAAATGTTTTTAAAGAGGCAAAAGGTTAAGGAACTGAAAAAGTTCCAAGAAGGCTCAACATACTTTATGGGCATGGGCTTCCTTTTGGGAAGGCAGGTTAGGAAAATCATACAAGAAAGCTGAATAAAATGGGATATTAAAAAGATGGCATGGCTGGCTGGCTCCCTGAATAAGAGTACTCCACATTGGAACATCTTTTGCAGACTCAACTTATTTTAAAATTATGATATCAAGGATATCTCTATGAATACAGTGAGTTTTTAATTAAAAGGTTTGGTGCTAACTGTCCAAGTCATTATGTTTATTATTAAATAAGTTCAGTGGCACATTCTTTGCTTAAACCAAAGGCTATTATTTTCCAAACATAATTCTCACAGAGTTGGTTTTAGCAAGATCTACTTTAGCAAGATCTACTCAGGTAGATAGGATGGGGTTACAAGAATTCCAATAGCTGAACTATTTTCAGTTTAGAACCGATATGACCTCGTATGCGTAATGGCAGACGCTTTCTGATTTTCTTTCCAGCAGTCTTCCAATGAACTGGCAAGGAGGTGAAGTCTTTTCATTGATAACAGGGAATTTTACAGATGGTTGTTCACATAATGTTTTCTTGGGTCTCTGTCAGTTTGAGAAGCAACTCTTATGCAAAGGAAGCATATGTTCATCACCATCCATCTTCTGTTTTCTAACGCAAATACTTAATTAACTTTTAACTCAATACTGCAACCACCTATTGGGTACTCATGATCATACATGTTAATAAAAGAAATCTGGAACATACAGATTCTTACAAGCAATATTTCAACTTGATCATAGAACACCTCCATTCTTTTATTTTAATTCTTTGGTCTTTTTTCAAAAATTTTGAGCAGCTGCACATGGTGATTTTTCCTCACCCTTTGGGTGGGGGCATATGCTATCGATTGCACAGTGTTGACTATAAACGGAGTGCTGATATAATATGCATTGCTAATGTCAAAAGCTTCTAACTCCTTGCCACTCTAAAAAAAATCCTATTTGCATCTTCTCTCTCCTGGATTAAACATGCATTTCAATGATTTTATCCTGTGTATGAGGGGGAGTTACTGTTTCCACACTGAAGATAATGCCTGCTGTATCTCCTGTTTCCTAGTTCCTCACTTGCATTTAATTTAACCCAACTAGGGAAAAAATGCAGTTTTAATGGCATGCTATCATCATGGTATTAACTGCCACGCAACTTTCCAAGGATTTGCTAGGATAGTATACTTCACAGGTATAGAATAGCCTTTCCCATAATGATCTAATATCACAGTGAACAGAAGGCTTTTGAGCCTTCTCAACCTATTTGATAATAGTTTCAAAAACAGATCTTGTAACTAACCAATAGTTACTTATCAGAAGGAATGTTTTGCAAACCACCAGACAAATGTACATGAACACAAGTGGAAAATGCATAGACTCTCTGTGGGGTGGAGGGGGTAGAGTAAGGGAGATGCTAGAAATGTATTTTTCCTTTTGTGAAGGAAGGAGTAAGTGCTGCTGTTAATTCATGGAACACCAGAAGCCTGGGAGAGTTCATTCAGGAACTGGCCAATTTGAAACAAACAATGAGCAGTGATTGACTGATATTCTTTACATTCAGATACTGGCTAACTCAGTCTGACAAATGACTGGTTGGTTGATGGATGTAATCTGTTGGCCGATGATATACCTGGAGTCACTCATTGTAGTTACTGAATAAATAAATACATTGTGCTAAGCTTGTATATGCAACTTTTTGATGGCCAGGGCCTCAATACTTTTGAGTTACTGGTAGCCACAATAGCTGGATTTATGATGCAGATTGCATTTTTCCCCTGGTTTGAGGGAAGGAAGTGAGGGGTTATTGTTGCTTTGTTATTGTTATTGTTTTAATTTTGAACTGCTGATTATTTCTCTTTCAATGTTTTAGCATTTCCTACCCCTAGATGGCAGAAAATTATAACACCAAATTTTAACAGTTGTTAGTGGTGGGGACCACACAAACACACAAAAAATAATCTGGTTACCCATCCCTGGGCTAAATCTTGATTTATTGAATGAACTACAATTGGCTAGATTCATATAACACTCCAAACCAGAATCCAGCAACACATAATATACTGAAACACAATTAATGGATAGAACTTATAGAAGTTATAGAAGAAGAGAATTCCAAAAATTGCACTTCAGCTCGCAACAAAAGATATGGCCGTTTAGAATTTATCTCTGCCTTCCTCTCTCTTTTGGCCTTTGGGCTTTAATTTTCATTGCTGCTTTTATGTTTACCCATTTTGCTTATAATTTAAGAGAAAAATGCAGAAAATAAAAAAAAATACTTTCTCATTGTTAACAGGTGAACATGTTACATGAATCATCTTACTGTTGCTATAAAACAGTAATTAATGCCAGATGTGAGAAAGAGCCATGTTTGCTACCTGATTTTATTTTCTATTGCTTAAATATTCCCTTTTTTCACAGTTCTTCAAGCTGCTGTTCTGTGTTGTTGAAAGCTGTTAAAAAGCTGCACAATTTTAAATTTGCTGTTACTCACCTTGCATGTAGACAGAAACATGAATATAGTCCAATGAATGCCTTTCTTTTCCTACTTCCCAAATCAGTTGCTTCCCAGGAGGTGGGCTTCTGCAGACCTTCTCCTGATATCAGCCTTGCTTACAGAAAGTCCGGTTGCTGAATGCTGCCCACAAATCTGTACCTGTGATAGCATCGAGTATCGAGTCATTTGCTCAAATAAGAATCTAACTAAAGTGCCTTTTAACATTCCTCAGGTGAGTTCATGGGAAGGCATTTATCCAAGATTTCCCCAGGGTGACTTACAATCCGTTAAAATCATAATATATTGGCCATTTTACATGGCCATTTTACACAGAAATTAATAATTTAAGAGGAGGTATACCTTTGAATTGTTTTTTACCCTCAACTTTAGCCTTCTGAGTTGCTTTTTATGATTTCATCTTACCTTTTTAAATTTTGGTGCAAATTTCCAAAAAGAGCATGCATCTAGCCATTTTTTATTAGAGTATTTATTTATTGAAAGGATTTATTGTAGATCAAGGCTGCCTATCTCACTTCTGCAACTCTGGATAGCTAACAATAATTAACAATATAAATTATTATTAATATAATTAATATAATAATAATGGTTTTAATAATCAACCCCCAGATTAAAATAACCATGTATAATTAAAATAACCATTATACATGGTTTACATTATTATAAATAAAGTTTATGCTAAAGGGTAGTTCTTTTCTTTGCAACAGGCCAGCTACTCAATTACAGTGTACCTCGGTTCACTAACTTAATTCGTTCCGTGACTCTGGTTACGACCCAAATTGGTCGCGACCCGAATCAAATTTTCCCATAAGGTTCAGTGTAAAGGCGGTTAATCCGT